TATATCGTCTGGGCCTACTGCTTTTTCTATGCTTCATCTTCTTCAAAGCTACAACCACTTCTTCCTTCCAGATTCGACGATAAAAAGAGTAGTTTCTACACTCTTCTGAGTTACTCAACTCCCCTAAAGAAGCACTCCTTTCATGTCCTTCATTGAAAAGATTATGAAAATAACCTCTCCATCTGTCTTTAACCGCGTTCTCTGTAGCAAGAACCTTTCCATCCTCATCCTTGATGCACCTCACTTGGTTTAGGTCCCTTGTCTTCTTTCCCTTGCTCTAGCTAGTTTATATAGATATCCAACTCTCCTTCTTTGGTATCTAGTCGCTTATACATATCGTCATAAGCCGCTAACTTAGCTTCTCTCACAGCTTTCTTCGCCTCTTGCTTCGCTTTTCTATATACCTTTCACCATTTTCATCGGTCCTATCCTTGTATAAGGCTTTACAACATTCCTTCTTAGCCTTCACCTTTGTTTTGTACCTCCTCATTCCACCACCAAGATTCCTTTTGGTGTGGGGCAAAGCCCTTGGACTCTCCTAACACCTCTTTTGCTACTTTTCGGATACAACTAGCCATGGAATCCCACATTTGGCTAGCTTCCCCCTCTCTATCCCACACACACTGGGTGATTACTTTCTCTTTGAAAATGACTTGTTTTTCTTCTTTTAGATTCCACCATCTAGTCCTTGGGCACTTCCAAGTCTTGTTCTTTTTTCTCACTCTTTTGATATGTACATCCATCACCAACAAGCGATGTTGATTAGCCACGCTCTCTCCTGGTATAACTTTGCAATCCTTACAAGTTATACGATCCCCTTTCCTCATTAGAAGAAAATCTATTTGTGTTTTTTGACGACCCCACTCTTGTAGGTGATCACATGTTCTTCTCTCTTCTTAAAGAAGGTGTTGGCTAAGAAGAGATCATATGCCATTGCAAAATCCAATATAGCTTCCCCATCCTTGTTTCTCTCCCCAAAACCATGGCCACCATGAAAACCTTCATAGTTGCCTGTCTCCCTGCCCACGTGTCCATTTAAATCTCCTCCTATAAATAACTTCTCCGTCTGAGCAATTCCTTGCACCAAGTCTCCAAGGTCTTCCCAAAATTTCTCCTTCGAACTCATATCCAACCCTACTTGAGGTGCGTACGCACTATTCACATTGATAAGTTCTTGTCCTATTACAATCTTGATTGCCATGATTCTATCTCCTACCCTCTTGACATCTACAACATGTTGTGTCAAGGTCTTGTCCACGATGATGCCAACACCGTTTCTCGTTCTATTTGTGCCCGAGTACCAAAGTTTAAACCCTGAGTTATCCTTTGCTTTAAGACCAACCCACTTAGTTTCTTGTAGGCACATAATATTTATCCTTCTCCTCACCATAACTTCCACTACTTCCATAGATTTTCCCGTTAAGGTTCCTATATTCCACGTTCCTAAACGCATTCTACTCTCCTGAACTCTACCCTTCTGTCCTAGCTTCTTCACCCTCCCCCGTCCAATGGAATCAAAGTACTTCTTTTGTGTGTCCCGTGTAAAGTTGATAGGTGCATATGCTCCCAAACAACTTTGAGTGGAGTCGTTCGAAAAGAAGTTTCTATGGCCCCCTTGCTCATTTAACACTGCATCCGGGTGCCTATGGAAATACAGCGACCCTTGCTCACTTGTCACTATGCTCGGGCCACACAGCGCGCCACTTACGGGTGACGCCCTAGCTTTAGCGCGATTTCGTTCTGAATTCATTTTCATAAGGATTCGACGTGACTGTGGAGTGCCGGCTGTCGACTACCTGACGCCCTCCCCCTCCTCCTTTACCCGGGCTTGGGACCGGCTTGTATTCATCTCACAAATAGAAGCAATGTGTAGAGCTTCGACTGAAGAGTTTGACAACGAATGCTGTATAGGAAAAATACGCAGGTCTGTCATGGAATTCTTCTACTTTTGATTCATTTTGGTTTTTTTCCTAACCACCTTTCATAAGTGGAATTTCTTCTCTTCATTTTTCCAGTTTTGTTGAAGTTATTTTCTGTTCATATCTTCCTTTCGTTCACAAGTTGATGCATGAAACAATTAATTGGCAGATTGCATCATTTGGTTTCTATTTATGTTGGGTTCTTAGTATGGATGAGCTGGTTGTGCTTATAACATATTAGTCAAAATGTTTAATGTAATATGAAGTTATTGTGGTTTTGGCATTCTTTAATTCCCTCCAAATGGAGTTAATTTCAATTATACTGCACAGTTGAGGTTTTTTCTTATTACAACAATTGTCTGCATAATTTCAAAATTGTTTCTTAAATTTTTTGGCAATTGGCATTTGTACGTCACTTTAGGGTCGATCAAGTGCACAGTGATTGTTTAATTTCAATTGATTTTTTTTTAGTGTGATTTCTTTTAGCTTCTGTTTTCTCTTGGTTGTTTTTACTGCACATTTGGGTTTTTCAATTGCAAGATCATCTACAAATTTGTACAGGAAACAATTATGGGGAGATGGTTGAAATAAACAATGAGATTGATAGCTTTATATTGTAAAATACTACTCCTTATCACATGGATTAAGGTGTAAGTTTATATTGTATTCTGTCATGGTAAATATATACAATACTGTTTGTTAAATGTTAGTAAATGTCACATATCTTCTCATGATTGATGCTTCAAATTTTCATTATGAATCTACGAAAAACATGACAACTTTTTAGGATATGCAAGATAAAGAAAAAGTTCCTCTTTGTACAATACATTTAAAATATATCTTGACAATTACAATAGAAAAAAAAAAACTAACATAATACACCTTTAGAGGCGCATAACGTGCGTGCGGAGAGTTTAGTATATATAAAGTGAGAAGCCCAAATAGGTGAAGTTTTTAATATTCCAATCATGTCCTTACTTTGATACAGAAAATAATTAACAACTACCCAACAAAATAGGGATAAAATAGTAAATATAGTACCATTTAGAAATCAAACGTGGAAGAGAGAAATTACACCATGTTTGCAAATCTGTTTTTCTCAAACCATTAGATATCCTTGCCGAGGAGGATTGGCGGAGGCCATTCCATTGGTTTATCTCAAACTGCAGATATCCGGAGGCCATTGGTAAAGGCTATAGTTTCAATCTTTGTCCAAAGTGTGCAATTTGGGATGATGGATGATGAATTCCAGATGGTTGCTGTTCGTCTAGAGGAATATCCAGTGAGGAGGTTCTCTGGCCAACGAGCACACAGCTCCCCGAGAGGTTGGCGCCGGTTGATATCGTCTGTCGGGATTCTGCTTATTGGCGGCCTGTAAAAGAAGGACAGAGTTAATTCTAAAATGTGTCTTTGTGGGGCCTTAGGTGTAGGCCTTGAGACTCACAATCAAAATTAACTTTGAGAATCCAGGCGTGCCACTGTCATCTTTAGCATGACAGATGTAAAAATTTTATGGTGTATATATATATATATGCCCGAGCGACCTAGTTAGTTATGAAAGGTGCCTTTGTGGGGCCTTAGGTGTAGGCCTTGAGGCTTCCCATCAAAACTAACCGAATACTTGAACACATCTTGGTTGTTTCATTCTTGCATACGTATCACTCTCGTTATACGTTAATTACCCGAGCCCGCAGAGCAGAATGAAGTTAAATAGGTGCCTTTGTCGGGCCTTAGGTAATGGCCTTGAGGCTTCCTATCAGAGTTAATTTTATACTCAAACGTTATGTGGGAATTATGATATAACAGAAGTAAAACTAGAGAATAAGCCAATTACTTGCGCCCCAAGTAACTTCGGACTTCTGGTGAATAAAGATTGTCGTGGATGGGTTAAGTCCACATAAAGTTCTTTTTTATGCCTTGAGACCAAGGACTTTTAATTGGTCAATCTTGTCTGCCTAAATGGTTAGAACTTAGAAGTCTTTTAATCATAAACTGGCTAGCAATAACTTGGATGCAGATGGAAACATACATCATAGTGCTAGATCTATGAATGAAATACAACAACAAAGGAGGTCGGGCAAGGCTGATCGTCTTGCAACTTCCTTTCTTTGTGATTTACAGAGTGTTCAAATGCTAGAAGGGGAGATTAGACGATGAATCTATATGAGGTGATCGATACTACAGCAAGATTTAAACAAGGTAGCAGAGCTTTGACAAAGGATTTCTGGTGAAGGTTGATCCCGAAAGGGATGAAGACTGGGGGCTGACTACAGCTTCGTGAAGGCAAATCTGGTTTGAGCAGAGTTTGTACTTGTATTTGTTTGTTTGATTGAGTGTCCTTGTCTTTGATTTTTCTTCCTCCTTTTATAGACGATTGGGCTTGGCTGTCTGCAGTGTTAATTTTGCCTGAATGCATCTGAAAGGCAATGACTCATCAACTTTTTACTTGTACTGCCATTGTAAAGTACTTTTGGGCTAATTAGTTGGCTGGTCTACACCACTTGACCCCTAGATAGGTGAGCAGGTAGTTTAAATGAGCTGCACCTGGTCGGGAAACAAGCCCCTTCTTGCTTCTGGACTTCGGCTGGGCCTTGGACTTTTCCTTCTTCTGAACCTCCTTTTGGGCTTTCTTTTAGGCTAACCTCTTCTTAACCCAAAGTTCAAGTTTTATCCCAAACAGTGCCCCCTTCAATTAATATTCAGGCTGGAATTCCAGGCGCCAATATTAATTGAATAGCTGCATGCCTGTATACCTACTCTCGGAACTTGTGTTTTCCAGATGGGATGAATGCAATCTTGCATCTCTTGCTCTTCTCATGACCTTTGAGCTATCCTCTGAGGTTCCTATAAATTCCAGCTCAAAACTTCTCATGTCCAGCCAACAGATCATCTTCAACATTCTCTTTATCACCCTCAGACGTTTCTGCCTTCTTAGTCTTCTTCTAAACCTGGAAAATAGGTTCCTCTGGATTCAATTGGAGGTTCCTAAAACTCATTTTTCGTGAGAAAAAGGATTTTCATCAAATATTTACTATCTCCAACACCTTTGGTCAGACACCCCGCTATCCCCAACACCTTTGGTCAGGCGGTTTTCTCCTGAGGGTTTGCCCTCCTGCTCGTTGCTTTGATAAGTTGGGCTTCACCATCATATCCGGTGATGATCCTTATCGAGGGTCCTTTACCAAGCTCATCTTGGCCGCACAACCCGATCACCTGCCTGACCAGGTTTTGTCCATGAAGATACCAAAAACTAGTCAAGACACCAACACAACGTAGAAGGAAAGAAACATGACACATTGAGACTTGCTCCAATGTAATTTTATCAATTCGTCGAAATGAATGAAGCATCATTTTAACAACTTTTATCTTTTTGTCTTCTTGAATGGTTGATGAATACACTGCATTCCAACACCTGCTTTATTTCTCATCTTCTTCAATATAACAATCCCTAACATCCCATAATGTAGGGCAATACCTTTTTAAGAATTTGACATTGATGGGATGTTTTTGCCAATTTCCTTCAAGATCAGCCAAGTAATATCCTCCCTTGTCTAATACTTGACTAACAATAAAAGGACATTCCCATGTCGGGCTCCATTTCCCAAAGCCCATAAGCTGAGCTCCTAGAGGGAGGACTGCCTTCCATACTAAATCTCCTTCCTTGAAAGACTTCAGTTTTACCTTCTTGTTATAAGCTCGGGCAACAGCTCTCTTCCCTTCCTGAATCTGGTTCAAGGCCTCAATTTGGGTTACATCTAAATCTTCAATCCTCTGACACATAGCTTCTATGTACTCTTCACTATGTAACCCGAATTGATTTTGAATTCTGACAGAACTTACATTGATTTCCATAGGAAGAACCGCATCTTGCCTGAACGTCAAAGCATAAGGAGTTGTCCTCGTTCCTGCCCGTTTAGAGGTTCGGTATGCCCACAAAGTATTTCCTAGCGTTTCATGCCACTTTTCCGGGCTATCTGTTACCATCATTTTGATAATGATTATTAAAATCTTGTTGTTGGCTTCGGCTTGACCATTTGACTGAGGGTAGTAAGGACTAGACTAGATCATCTTTATTTTGTATTTGCTTGCAAATTCTTCAACATCTTTTGATATAAAAGATGGCCCACGATCCGTGACTATGGTTTCGGGCACCCCAAACCTATGCAGAATCTTGGTCTCAATAAATTTCTTGACTGCAGCTGAAGTTATGGTCTTTACAGCTGATGCTTCTACCCATTTGGTGAAATAATCCGTTGCCACAATTATGAAAGTATGCCCTTTGCTAGAAAATGGATAAATCTATCCGATGAAGTCCATTGCTCATCCTCTAAAGGGCTAAGGTTTAACCACCGGATTTAAAGGTACTGAAGGCACATGTTGGAGGGGTCCATGCCTTTGACATTCCTCACAGCCTCGGGTATAAAACTTGCAATCTTTTTCTACGTCAGGCCTGAAATACCCATACCTTCTAATCAACCACCTCATCTTCGTTCCAGCTTGATGTGCCCCATATATCCCTTCATGTACCTCGGCCATTACTCTTATAGATTCTTCTTGACCTAGACATTTCAGTATGAGCCCATCCGGAGTTTTCCTTAGCAAGTTCTCCTCCCATAAGACATACTTAGTTGCTTGTTGTCTATTCTTCTTGCTTGTGGGTGCAGAAGGATCTTTCAAATGATGAATGATAGGTGATCTTCAGTCTTCCATCTCGGTTTCTAGGACCATTATATCTAGACTGAATCCCCTTTTTAAGATAGAAGGAAGATTTCTTCTTTGAACCTCGACATCTACTCCATACTTCCTTTCCTGGATTGGTACTCCCAAGGCTATTTGAGCCATCTCGTTTCCCTGGGAACATAATTAACTGATACTTCAGAATCCCAATAGCTCAACAATTGTGTGGTCGCCAAGTATACCCAGCCATGATGATATGTCTGCACTTGTATTCTCCATTTAGCTGGTTTATCACTAACTTTGAACCACCAAATACCTCTACCTCCATTGCCCTCAACTCTATTAAGATCTCCAAGCCAATTATTAAGGCTTTATACTTCGCCTGATTGTTGGTATTCCCTTGGTAATCTAGAAGGAATGAATAATAATTGTGAACTCCTTGGGGATTTATGATGACAATCCCTGCTCTAGAAGCCTTCTGAGTGTACGAACCATCAAAATAAAGCTTCCAAGGAGTAATCCAGAGACCAGTTACCCTTTTTTATTTCTTGTTGGACCCATTCTTCTTTGTCCGAGATGCCATTGCCTGGTGGGATCCAAACATTAATTACTTCCAGGATCCATGGTACATTGACGATCTCATCTTGAGACTCTTGGTGCTCTGCTAAGAAGTCAGCAATTGCTTGGCCTTTGACCGCCCTTTGGGGTACATATTGAAAGCTGAACTCTGATAATGCTAGAATCCACTTCCCAATCCTTCATGTTAGCATTGGTTTTGACAATATATATACTTTATCACATCTGTTTTGGCATTGATGTGCATATGACAAAGTAACATGTAATGCCTCAACTTACTAGCAGTGAAATACAGAGCTAGGCATAACTTCTCTATAGGGGAGTACCTTGTTTCTACCTCAGTCAAAATTCTACTGAGGTAGTATACTGCCTGCTCCTTTCTGCCTTCATTGTTTTAAACTAGTAAACTCCCGATTGATTTCTCTGAAGCAGAGATATATAGCTTTAAGGGTTTTCCCCTTTGAGGTGGTACCAACACTGGTGGAGAAGTTAAATAGGCTTTGATGCTGTCAAAAGCCTTTTGGTGTGGTGGTCCCCATTCGAAACTTTCTGTATCCTTCAGTCTCAATAGAGGAGTCAACGGCTGAATTTTGCCTGCTAAATTGCCAATGAACCTCCTTAAGAAATTAATTTTTCCTAGCAGTCTCTGAAGTTGTATTTTGTTGGTGGGCGGAAGTGACTCCATTATTGCCCGAGACTTGTTCTTGTCCACTTCTACACCTCTTTGATGAACCAGGAATCCCAAGAAGTTGCCCGCTCTTACTTTAAACGAGCACTTCTTTGGATTCATCTTGAGTTTATGGATTCTCATCCTTGTCAATGCTTGCCTGAGGTCTATCAGATGCTGCTCTTCTGTTTTGGATTTCACCACGATGTCATCGATGTACACCTCCATGTTATAGCCAATCAAATCATGAAAAATAGCATTCATCGCCCTTTGGTAGGTTGCACCAGCATTCTTGAGTCCAAACGGCATGACTAGATATTCATATGCCCCCACATGACCCGGACACCTAAAAGCTGTTTTATGTATATCTTCCTGGGCCATCTTTATCTGATTATATCCGACATTTCCATCCATAAAAGATAAGACTTTATGTTTTGCTACCACATCCATGGACAGGTCAGCCATGGGCATGGGATATTCATCTTTTGGTGTGGCGCCATTAATGTTTCTGTAATGAACACAACATCGTACTGCTTTTGTTATGGCTTTTAAAATGGGTACAATATTGGCCAACCACTCTATATATTTGGCAGGCCTAATAAATCCAGTTTTCACTAGTCTTTCAATTTCTTCTTTGACCTTTTCTTCTATCTCTTTTGACATCCTTCATGGTGCTTGCTTGACAGGTTTATATCCCTCCTTGATGGGCATTCTGTGTTTCACCAAGGTTGAATCTAAACCTGGCATCTCAGTATAATGCCACGCAAAACAATCTTTAAATTCTTGCAGAAGACAGACAATCTTTGCCCGATAATTAGTTTCTAATAAACCACTGATTTGTATAGGTCTTGGGTCAATAACTTCCAAAGGATCTTGCACTTCTGGTGGTGGCTTGTCAGGTTCTGTACACAAAAATTCGACTAACTCCGGGCTCTCGGGCAAGTTGTCTGGTCCATCCAAATCATATATGCACTCGGCCATTCATATAGCCATCTCCAATTCTTCTCCGCAACTTTCTTCCCTGTTTTCATCCTGGCCGATTGAAGTTTCTAGCTGCCGCTCATGCTCTTCTTTTCCTAAGAGCTCTCTTCTTGTTTTCTGTCTCTCCCATACACCAACAGTCTTTTGATCAGGAACCTGACTGCTGTTACCTGATCCTTCCTCTTTTGTTCTGTCATTGATGATATTGAGGTGTTGGGACGATACAGGGTCTATCACATTCTTCTCTAGTGAGAAACATTCCTTATTCTAAGAGCTTTTGGGTCGTCACCTTGGTAAGGCGGCTGTTCTTATCTGCTCCTGAACATTGCAGAATTCCTACATTGGGATCGTAGAAATTTGATTTCGCTACGTTGGCTGTAGGAAGAAATGGTCGTGACTCGGCCTCCACCATCTCCCAAAAGCCTGGTCCCCCTGTTCCTACTTTGTAGTAAACTGCAACTTGTTGATGTAGAGTGGAGGGTATGGCAAGACTTTAGTGGATCCAATCCCTTCCGAGTAATGCTCCATAGGTGGAAGCACAATCCACCACAAAGAATGCCAGCATGATTCGCTTGGATCCCAAGTCCACTTCTAAAGGTAATATCCCATGAGTTTTGGTGATAGCGCCGGAGAAGCTCGAGACCGTGAGATCTGTGGGAATGAGATCTTTTACACCTCTTCCTATCTTCTTCATTTGCTTGGCGGGCAATATGTTAACAGCTGCTCCTCCATCAATCAAAACTCTTTTGAAGGGAACTCCCTCCAAATGAGCTGTAACATATATTGGCTTAAGATGGTTGGCTAGTAACATGTTTGGGCGGCTGAACACCATTTTATCAGTATAAATTCTTAACAGACCATTCTGGAATGTCTTGGATGATTCAGTTTTTCCCAATTCTTCCTCTTCGGCTACTTCAACGCTAACATGGGCCATCATTGGTTCTATTGTCAAATAGTCACCTTCCATAGTAGCGGGCTGATCAGGCTCAGCACCAAACATGGCGAATAACACATATGTCATGTTGATATGAAAGGTACTAGGCTCTGGAAAGTCTTCTTTCTTGCTCCCGATCTGTTCCATAAATTCGTCTAACCAGGTCATCGCATCTTCTAGGAGTAAAGGTTCTGGTGCTCCCCCTGTTGATTTATGCCCGAATCTGGAATCTGCTTGGGAACTTCACCGAAAGGATCCAATGATACACCAGGGAGCTTCTTCTCAGGCGAAACAATTCCAAAACAAATAGGCTCTGTCCTCAATCCAGGAGTGGGCATCATTATCATATCTTCTTGAGCTCTTCTCAATATCCTGTACTTTCCAGGGTGTAGGCTTTGTGGTACATGGTTTCCCTCACCCCTTGTTTTGCTATTAGCCTTCTACACCTCCTTTTTACTCTTCCAATTAAACTGACTACTTCACCCAGAGGGTGTTTTTCAAACTTTTAATTCTTTGAGGCTTCAGATGTCACGGGAATCTTTAAAGAATTCATATAAGCTTTATGCTGCCTCTGGACCCTTCTGATCATAGAGGCTCCCATTTGTTTGGTGGGTTGGCCATTTTTCCCGACCACGTACCATTTTCGTCCGAGACGGGCAGGGTTCTCCTTTTTGACAGGATTTAATATCCTATCATTTCTTTTATCTTCTCTCCCTGCACGGCCATATTGAGGATGCCTTATCTCCCTTTCTTTTATACCTTTAGCCTCCTTATCTTCTGCCTCCTCAGAAGCTTCGTGATTTCGAAACACTTCTGATAAAGCTCTAGGTTGGGAATCCCCTCCTAACCGCTGAAAGACACTTCGAGAAGTCTATCTTCCTGCTGTCCATCTAGCTTTTTCATATGCCTCTTTTTCACATGCAATTAGAAGTCTTTTAATCATAAACTGACTAGCAATAACTTGGATGCAGATGGAAACATACATCATAGTACTAGATCTATGAATGAAAGACAACAACAAAGAAGGTCGGGCAAGGCTGATCGTCTTGCAACTTCCTCTTTTTGTGATTTACAGAATGTTCGAATGCTAGAAGGGGAGATTGGACGATGAATCTATATGAGGTGATCGATACTACAGCAAGATTTAAACAAGGTAGCAGAGCTTTTACAAAGGATTTCTGGTGAAGGTTGATCCCGAAAGGGATGAAAACTAGGGGCTGACTACAGCTTCGTGAAGGCAAATCTGGTTTGAGCAGAGTTTGTGCCTGTATTTGTTTGTTTGATTGAGTGTCCTTGTCTCTGATTTTTCTTCCTCCTTTTATAGACGATTTGGCTTGGCTGTCTGGAGTGTTGATTTTGCCCGAATGCATCTGAAGGGCAATAACTCATCAACTTTTTACTTGTACTGCCATTGTAAAGTACTTTTGGGCTGATTAGCTGGTTGGTCTACACCACTTGACCCCTAGGTAGGTGAGCAGGTAGTTTAAATGAGCTGCACCTGGTCGGGAAACAAGCCCCTTCTTGCTTCTAGACTTCGGCTGGGCCTTGGACTTTTCCTTCTTCTGAACCTCCTTTTGGGCTTTCTTTTGAGCTAACATCTTCTTAACCCAAAGTTCAAGTTTTATCCCAAACAGTTGCGACTTATTATTTAAAGCTACCCTTTGCTTCCTCTTTAGTTTTCTTATTTGCATATGTTTTTGTTTGCATTTTGATATATACGCTCTCTACAATTGTTGTTTGTAGTTCGACTGTTTATTTTTATTCTTCAATGTTGGATATATGTAATTCATCAACAGTGATTAATGCATTCGTTACTGTTTTCCACAAAGGGTTTGCACTCTCTCATCCAAACGATAGTGACATTGGTGATTAACTTTAGCAACAAAAATACATTGAAGCCATCACCATGGATCTGGGGATTGGTGGTGATCGGAGATTGAAAACCCTAGAAACTGGATGTTGATGTGTAGGGTTGAGTTGAGGAAAAGTAACGTGAAACCTGAACGGGCAAACGAAAACATTTGGTACTTCAAGTGTAGGTGAGTTTTCTTTTCTCTCTCTCTTTTTTTTTTAGCTGTTCTTCTTCCTTTTCCAGCAAATTTTCTTATAACTATAGGCCACGATTGCTTATAAAGTATTCAAATCATAGGGTTTTGCACAAAAAGAGAGGAGAGACTGACATTTGATGGGTTTCTCTTATTGATTTTTCATTCATTTATCCTTTTTTCTTTGTTTATTAATTTTATTGACACAAGTTTTTTCATTAGGGATAGAAATTTGGGCAATAATATGCTACTGTGCATGTTTGAAGGAACAATCTGAGTTTGTCAAACGCTAGCGTGGTCATACAGGTTCGATTTTTCCCAACTGTAATTTTAATTATTCATGTTCTTCACCATCTAGTTTAATTTGCTGCCTTTCTATCTTATCACTTTATTGTGTTCACTTCCAATATCATACTTGGAATCTCAAAGCAGCTTCCAAATTGAGGAAGAGTAAACATACAGAATATTTGCGTTTAGCTTCTTCTCTATTCTTTAAGTTTGATATATATTTACAAAAGTGGGTTGAAAAACATAAGTAAAATCATGTGTCATAGTTCCCTTCTAAGAGTGTCAATATTAGCATGGATGTTGGCAATGGCCACAGCTCAAGTCGTGGCTTGAACGATGAGGTGAAGAAAATGAGGGAGGAGTGGATGAATAAAGAAGAAAAACACAGGAAGGCTGTGGAGTTGGTTTACGCTACCAAGCTCGATGATTTGGAGGCTCAAATTAGGTCAGTTTTAATATCAAATTAGCCTTAAAAAATTAAATAAAGAAGAAGAAATACTAAATATATGTTGCTAGGTTTATTTTATAGTTTCCATTTTTTTTCCTTGCAAGGTTGATTTGGAACATCATGTTTAGCTTCACTCTGTTTGTGTTTTTCTCTTCCAGGTAAGAAGGTTTAAACAATATTAGTTCAAGACTAATAATATTGACCTCTCCATTATCCCATGGAAATAAAATTTGGGAGGTCAAGAAATGAATAGAGATTGAATTGTTAGGTCATTTTGTCTTATTTATTTGTTAATTTTATACTCATTAACAACATTTGAACGAGTTTTAAGTTTTTTAGTCAAGGTAGAAATTGCTATTTTTTTTGTAGCTAACTATGATCTCCATGCTTATTATTCTATGTGGGCTGTTACAAAACACTCTAGAGAGTGAGCCAATTTTATTTGACCTTGGATTGGTTAAAAGAAGAAGAGCATGTGCTTTTTTGCAATAATCAATTTTCATTGAACTTGGAGAAATACTATTTTGACCAACTAGGATTTTAGTTTGTTTGTAACTTAAGTTAAAACTATAGTGACACTATTAATGTCTATGCCCAATGAACAATTATGGTAAATAGCTAACACAATACATCTTTAGGGCGCTTAGCGCCCGTGATTAGAAAAAAGGCATCTCCGCATGCGCGTGATGCGCTCAAACGCATGCGGAGACTAGATTTTCCTTTAAAACCCCAACCGCTTCTTGCACTCCTCTCAAAAACCCCATTTCCCACTTCGTGAAGAAACATCTTGCTCTTTCCCCCATCATCTTCTCTCTGGCCCTTTTTCCTTTTCAGTGTAGTTTCTGGTTCTCTGGGGATTGTCCTCAACTGCGTTCTCTACTTTTCTTTCTTTCGTTTCAAGATTCGTTTGAAATGGATCAAAAAACAGTGCATGTTTTCAAGGTTTTGTTCGGAGTCTTAGGTGAGTTTCTGAATTTTTCCTCTCTGGTTTTCGGATTTTTTTCTCAATTGGATTCTTTCTTACCAATTTCCTTTGAGATTTGTGCGTTTGTGTTTGTTAATGCTCTGTTTCTTCATTTTTACAGGAAATGGCACCGCTTTCTTCCTCTTCTTGTCACCCACGTAAGCCCTCTCTCTCTCACATTCTTTCATTTGGGTTCTAAAGGTGATGCCTTTTTGCCTAAATTTTCATTTTGTTCAATGGGTTATGATATTTTGATTCTCTGTACATTCTGCATTGTTCAAAGAGCAACAATCTCTCCCTCTCCCTCTCCCTCTCTCTCTCTCTTGCTTTTTGTGGCTAAAGATCATGTCTTTTGTGTCATAAATTGGATTTTGTTAAATGGGTTTATGTATATCTGTTGGATAATAAAAAAGGTTGAATCTTTACAGGGTTTCTTTAATTTTCTGTGCAATTTATAGAGTAGTTTTGGTTTTAAAATGTGTAGAATTACATTTAAGAGGATCATGAGGAAGAAATGCACAGAGCAGTTCTCAGGCATTCCCTACGTGATGACTATGCTCAACTGCCTCCTCTACGCTTGGTATGCTGCTTTGCTTCTCACTCCTCTCTCTCTCTCTCTCTCTCTCTCTCTCTTAGATTTCTTGTTGCCTTAATCACAATGGTTTTTATAACTCTCTCTCTCTCTTAGATTTCTTGTTGCCTTAATCACAATGGTTTTTATAACTAAAAATTGGATTATATAGCAGTTTTACCTCTGTTTCTGCTATTACTGTTTTATGTAATCACAATGCATTTCATCACTAAAATTGGCAATTTTGGTTGAAAAATGGTTTGGATTTGTGCGTAAAATATATGATTCTTGATATTTGGGTCAGAGTAAGCTGTACTATTGTCGTCTGTGTATTACATGTTATACCATGTTTTGTGTGTGACGTAACAGTTTGTACAATTAGTTAATTCTGTGTAATTAATTAATAACTTGGATTAATTTAATTAATGTATTATGTATGATTTGCATTATATTAGGTATGGGCTGCCATTTGTGTCCGCGAACAACTTTCTGGTGTCAACAGTCAATGGGACTGGTGCAGCCATGGAACTCATATATGTGTTGGTCTTCATCATTTTCGCCCCCAAAAGGGAGAGAGCCAAAATTCTTGGTCTCTTCACTGCTGTGCTTGCTCTGTTCTCTGCTGTGGCATTGGTCTCTCTTTTTGCCCTCCACGACAAGACCCGGAAACTCTTCTGTGGCCTCGCTGCTACCGTCTTCGCGATCATCATGTTCAGCTCTCCTTTGTCGATTATGGTAAGTTTACTTGTATTATTCACTCATAACTTTCATTCAATTTTCATGGTTCGGTTAGGTACCGTTTGGTCCGTGGGACGGGACGAAACGGAGTGGGACGAGGCGTTCCGTCCTACGTTTGGTGCGCCTAAGACGGGTGGAACGCGTTGTTTCACGGGACGAATTTTAGGTGAATTTTCGTTCCAACTCACCCCCTGGAATGACTCGTTCCACATCTGTGGAACACAATTATAACATTTCCGTCTCCTTCTTCTTCCTCCTTATTTTCATTCGAGGGCATCTTTGCTCCCCCTCCGTTTCGTCCCGTCCTATCCCGTCTGCGTACAAACGATACCTTAAGTATGTGGAATTGCCTGGGATTAGTTATGTGTTAATTTGTGTGTAATGCAGAGCACAGTGGTGAGAACTAAGAGTGTTGAGTTTATGCCATTTTTCTTGTCACTTTTCTCCTTCTTGTGTGGAACTTCATGGTTTATCTATGGCCTGCTTGGCCGTGATCCATTTGTTGCTGTAAGTATCCACCTCTTTGAATTTATGTTTGTCTTTTAACCATATATATGAACTTTTCTATTTAAATTTTCTCGGCATTTTTTCTCGCTAACCTCTTAATTGACTAATACACAAATTGAGATGTGATTCAATTCAAATTGAAAACTAGAACTTGTTAACCCGATAATAATTTAGGTGTGACAAAATATGCATATCTTTATAACTATCTTCCTTCTCGCATTATCTATCACCCGACAAAAGAGATATAGACATACAATATGATATTCATCCGATTGAACCTAAACTTTTGCGTTAATAGACCTTTCGTCTTATGAATGATCTGATGTGTGGTGCAGATTCCAAATGGGTGTGGGAGTGTCTTAGGGGCACTGCAGCTGATCCTGTACTTCATCTACCGTGACAACAAGGGCAAGGGCAGTGGCACCACGAAGCCCAATGGTGCTGCAACTACTGCTGACGAATCAATTACCATTAATGGCGCCCAAGATGGGCATGTCTAAGAACCCGTCTGCTTCCTACGATGGGTTATTGCCACGTGGCAGTGGCATCTCCAAACTTCCATTTTCCAGTTCTTGTTGTTCTAGTGTTGTACTTGTAGTAGCTTAAATTTCCAGCTAATGATGTTTTAATGACAATGCCACTCTGATTAGACGTCCTGATTGAATCAATCATATTACTTAGCTGATTTCTATATTGTTCACAGGTTTAATGTGTATTTTCTCATGTCAAATATGCGGAGGCTGGGATCTTACAAGTCCCAATCCTATGGATACCAAATAAAATTACTTAGCCTCTCCATTAAGACTCTTGTGTACGGGTGCCCAATATGTCGGAACCACAGTTATGGATCTCTTATAATCGTGATGCTGCATAAGGCAACCGTACTCAAGATCTTCTCTTTTAGACCATCTCCAATCCTGACCTAAAACCTAAAAATATTTAGCCCAGAAAATTTAAGTTTTAACCCAGAAACAGTTTTTCTACTCCAACCCTTTTGGCCTAAAATTTTAGCCCCAGATTATCACAAAATGAATTAAGGCTAATTTTTTTTAAATTAACTTTTTTTTAAAAGGGTTTAGGTGGGCACACGAGAAAGGGTAAGATTGAGAATGAGGATATCCGAGGTAAAGTAGGAGTAGCCGAAATTGAAGGAAAGATGAGAGAAAATCGGTTCCGGTGATTTGGACATGTGCAAAGAAGGCCGACTGACGCTCCGGTTCGAAGATGTGACTACGGGACAGAGGTTCAGGGCCGAAGGGGTAGAGGAAGACCTAGGAAAACTTTGGAAGAGACTCTAAGAAAAGGCTTAGAGTACTTGGATCTAACGGAGGACATGACACAAAACCGAGCGCAATGGCGTTCTAGGATTCATATAGCCGACCCCACTTAGTGGGAAAAGGCTTTGTTGTTGTTGTTGTTATAACTTTTTTTTAAAAAAAAAATTTATGTAGACTATCCTAAATTAATTTTATGAACATTTTAACCTAAAAATATTTAAATTCCGATAAATTTTGAAAAATCACTAAATCAATACATGAAAATCATGATAAACCACATAAACTTAAATAAAAAAAATTATTCTAGCTGTTGGAAAAAAATATTTAAATTCCGATAAATTTTAAGATTATTCTTGCCATTGGATTTAAATTTGGACCGTTACCGTTAGATTTGATTATATTCGATTTAAACCGTTGGATTCAATTAATATATAAATATAAAACAAAAAATAAATTGAATGTGGACCGTTGGATTAACCAACGGTCCAATTACCACCACCACCCGATAAAGAAAAGTAGCCGTTGGCTACAAGACAAGACCCACTTTTCACTCTCATCCGTGGGTCTCAGCAGCTTTTGTGGGCTAAATTTGTGACCTATATTTACCTTCATTTTAAGTTTTAGGTTTTAGGTTTGGTTTAGGTTTTGGGTTGAAGTGGATTTGGGGGGGAAAAAAGGAAAAATTTAGGTTATAAGCCATCATTGGAGATGGTCTTAAGGGAGAATGTTGCGATCAATGATCAAGGGGTCCATATATATAGCTAGCGAAACTCTTGAACATTTGATAATGAACGGTGAGATTGCCGTGCAGTTTTTTTCATTGTCCAAAACTGGAAAGAGAATGAGAGTGAGAGTGACCTTCGTAATACCAAAGTCTTGGTCGTTGTGGAAAATATAAATGTCTTGGTCTTTTGTGGTTGGTAGGACCTGTCTGTAGACTACACTTTGACTAGAGCAAATGTAACGTGTCTGTAGACTACACTTTGACTTGTAGACAACACTTTGACTAGAGCAAATGTAACGTGTCTGTAGACTACACTTTGACTAGAGCAAATGTAACGTGTTGTTTGAGGTAGAACCAGTTATATGATAATAGATTTAATTAAATCCACTTAGACCGTTTAGATCCCGTCTAGCCGCCTAGGCGCTAGGTCCCAACCCGCCGTCCAACTAGCGCTTAACGTTTTTTAAAACCTTGTTCCCAATAGGGAGAGAGTGGTTTTAGAGGATTGTGTTTTAGAAGACTGTTACGTAGTTGAATCCTGTTTTAGTGATGAAATGATTTTTTTTCTTACAATTTCAATGTTGATAAGACAGTTTAGAACTTAAGATCATAATTCTGAAATCTTATTCAAATATGTGAGATAATAGATAGTGATACCAATATACTTTTCCTCCTGTATTTTGTTTTCTTTTCTTGTTTGTCAAACCTCGTGTCTTTTTTGTCAAAAATGGACTTGAAATACAAGAAATGAATTGCAAGTGTTGCAACAAGAGGTTTATCTTGTGCACATGGTTTCACAAAACCTCCTTAGATTTGAGCAATTACATCACTCTCCTTTTAATACTTTCATGATTGGTTTATCTTCTCAATGAATTCTACTTGTGGTTAATACTACCTCTCATCCTGTGGTAATAGCTACTACAAAAAAACCTTTGTGCGACGAAATAAGTTTTGTCGTGCAAAGTATGATTTTGTCACTCAAAACCTTGCGTGAAGAAATTTTTGTCCTGCAGGGTTCATTACACAAAGCTCGTAAGATAGGGTTTGCACGACGAAAATTAGTCTTCATTGCGCGAAGGTACTTTGTGCGACGAAATATTTAGCAATTTAAAATATAAATAAAAAAGGAAATAATTTTATTTTGCAATTTAAAATATAAATTAAATTAAATAAATAGTGTTTAGGTGACGAAATGTTAATTCGTCACGCAAAGAAAATAACAAAAAAAATAAAGAAAATAATTTAGTTTAACAATATAAAATAAAATAAAATGCATTTATGCAATGAAATGTTGATTCGCTGCACAAAAAATGTAACGACTTGTTCCCAATTTTACGGTTTTTATAATTTTAATAAGTGAAGAAAGGAGGAATGGAACCGACCAATAAGAAACGAAAGAAAGGAAGGGAAATGAGAGAAGAAGAAGGGGGAGACACGGGTTGGCCCATGTAACCCATCGGACCCGACCCATACCGCCGCCTTCCCGACACTTTTCCGTCGGTTTTTCGACGATCTAAACCTCACCACCATTTGCAAACTAACCCTTATCTTCCCCTCTTCCATTTCCAACCAAATTTTATTGGGTTTGAGCTTGAATTCGAGTAGAACGAAACCTGTGGGTTCCGAGGGTGCCACGACGAAATCCGACGATCGTGAAAGTAATGTCGACCATCACCACCATCAAACCACTTCTCCTGAGGCCAGGAACAAAGCCCAAACAGATTTAGGGGCGGTGGTGTTACGGATTGGTCGAATTCAAGAACACTCATTTCAAGGGTTTCCAACGTATCCAGGATGGTTTTCAGGTGTTTCCCGACCAAATTGGACTTGGCCACAGGTATGAAAATGTTCCCATTACTGAAATTTACTTGTCAGTAACATTTGGTAATTTTTGGAAATAATTGATTTTTCCGGCGAGTCAGGGCGACCAACCGCCACCTACGACAACACGTGGGCCGAGACATCCCTTGACCTTCCTAGGCTAAATTTGAATACCCTGATTCCATTTGTGAAGTCCAATTGACGAATTTCTGTCGTTTGAACCTAGTTCCATTAAGGTCCACCACTTGATTAGAATGGTAGTCGACGATCCGACCGTTGGATCGTCACCAAACTTTAATTGTGAAATCTCATTTCCGGATTTCACTGTTATAATCTACGTATTTGCATTATTGAGATTTTACATTATTTTTCTAAAATTTATATTAATTTATTGAATTTAGATTTCAATTAAATTAGTTACCAAGAGTGAAGTTTAGAAAATAATTATTTAAAATTCATTGACCTTTCGAGGTCACAAGTAACGTTTTCGAATAGATCTTGAAACCACGAACGCATGGGCGAAAGCCGTTTACGAGTCCGGATTATAACGGTATAGTTATGGACATTTGAAATCATTTACTAAACTATAGTTTTTAATTAATTAAAATCCCACTTTGTGGGAAGGAGGCCCAATGAGAAGATGAGAGCGAAAGGAAAGGGACCATCAGAAAAATGGGAGAGAATGAGAACTATCGAGAAGGAATGAGGGGGAGGGAAGGACTCTCTGATCTCTGTTCTTTCAGGGAAGGGGGAGGAGTCTCTCTCTCGGTTCACACACTCTCACCTTTCGATTGATGCCGATGCAAATTCAATGGACTCCATGTTGGTCCTATCACTCTGATGCCCTTCAGTTTAGCAAGACTACCAAGAGATTATACATATAAATGGTGAGTAGCATAACAGACGGAATGCCTTAAAATGTGTTTGATATCCATGGGTTAATTTCACATGTCCTACAATATTTGTTGTTCTACGTTTGTGTGTGGTGTATGTTGATCAGATTCAATGAATGAGCATGAGGTTCTTTTACTTCAATTTCTTTTATGGTTTTAGTCGGTGTTGTCGACGCTTGCTACATATATATTTGAATTGAAACTACCATGATATATTTGGAGTCCTTGGTTTTGTTTAGGGTTTTCTACCATTCAATGAACTAGTCTAACATGAATTAGAGTTGGGTATTTCGGATTGAGTGTGTAGATCAACTTTCTTAATCAAGGGTTTGGTTCAAAAGGTCATTTTCTTGTTAATTTTGAGTCATGTTAGTTTTGGATGTTGTATACATGACTTCTGGACTACTTGGAAGTATTTTGGGATTTGTTATATGAATTGGAAGTGGGCTGTTATGTAAGCTGCAGAAAATTGATTTCTTTGCAAAGAAAACTCAAGTTTCGAGTAGCCTTCTTTGGCTCTTAATTTCTAGGCCTCTATGTGCTCCTTTGGAGAAAAATTTGTGTGTGTTGAAAGCACATATGTTCATGGTCGTAACCCAATTGTTTTCACTCAGATCCGTTGAGTTTTGGTTGATCAAAACCTTATTTAAACTTGGGTCGCAAGCTGCCAAACAGTAGCAGAAAATTGGGTGTCCAGTTTCAAGACTCCGTTTTTCTTTTGGCATAACTTCCTATTTAGAGCTCTGTTTTCTACAAACTTTGTATGCTTTTAAAGTACAGAACACAAGCTTCAAAACCCATATAATATTACATGATTTAGTTTAGTTTTGAATGTTCCAAAGGGAGCCTAAACATGGTCCAGTGGTGCTGTTTTCTGCAGATTTTGTGGAGAAGCAGAGTACTGTTTTTGCCACACCTAGTTTCTTTCCAGATTCCTTTCTAATCTTCTTTACTACTAATTGAGTGATGGTATTAATA